AGGAGAAGAAGGAAAACCCTAAGACTTGTCTAACTTAGTGGAGAATGTATGTGTCGGGTTTAGGATGATAGCAAAGTCTTAATCGAGCTGTGTTATCTAACTTGTATATAAACAACTGTAATTAAAAGTTCGGATTCACCTGTTTCTTGCAGTTTAAAAACAAGTAATTGCAAACTTTGGAAATGTGACTAGTATATGATGTAAGGCTGTAGAAGTGAGGAAGCTCTTCAAGTGCTAAAACGAAAGACTTCTAGTTTTTGGCTCAAATTCAGTAAGTACTGTTTGTATACCAGGATATGTGAGATGTAAATGTAATAGGTCACTTTCACCCTTGTAGCTATAAGATAAAAATTTTGTAGAACAGAAATAGCTTGTACTACTGAATTTAACAAAAGTTATACTAAAGTATCATGTTTTTTAAACTATATATATATATATACAGAGTTAAGCTTGTTGCTGTTGCCCTGTCTGGATTTGAAAAGTGTGCTGAGATATATATATATATATATATACACCTCACATATATATACTATATACATGCACACATCTAAAATGGCCTAAGCAGACATCCATGTAATTACAGTTGCAAAATGAAGACATTTTGGAAAGAACATTGTATCATAGTTCATTCATTTGCAGTGGATCTTTGTTCCTTTTTACTGTGGTAATTTTAGAAATGAGTGTCAAGTTTGAAATTAGATCTGCTAAGTTGGGGTTTTGCTGCTTGAACTCTGCACTGGGTCCTCAAATAAACCGATGTGAATGTAGTTTTTTCCCCCTGTGTGAAGAAGCAGCCACACCCCAACAAATAATAGGAGGAAAAATCTAGAACTACTTCAAGTTTTATCTTTTTGTATATGAAAATAAAATAATAATAATAATAAAACCCTGTTGTCTCTCTTAATCGCATGGCTGGGGATTGAGGTCTCTTTTCATGGGAATTGGAAATAAATAAAATGGTGTCTCCAAATCACAGGGCCGACTCGGACACCCTTGTGAGTTCCTGCTTGGTGCACATGTGGCTGTTAATGGTCGAGTGCCTGGTCTACCATGGGCCTGTGGGGCTGGAGGCACTGGGCTCCTCCTAAATGGACTGTCCTGGGACTTTGGCCAAGTTCCTGTAGGGCACAGGTACTTTTTCCAAACCTCCAAGATCCCCCACATATATATCCCCACCTTACCCACCAGTCTCATACTTTGCAGGCAACCCTGAGCAATAGTTTTATAAGAGGAGCAGAGAGGCCTAGAAAATCAGTTATGTTCACGACTACCCAGAATACAAGTTCTGCCATTCCCCAATATGGCTGAGTTGCAGGGCCACTTGCTGAGCTATTGAAAAATATAGAGTTCTGCCCTGGCCGGGTATCTTCGTTGGTTAAAGCATCATCCTGATAGGCCAAGGTTGCAGATGTGACTCCTGGTCAGGGCACATGCATGAATCAACCAATGAGTGCGTGGGTAGGTGGAACAACAGATTGATGTTTCTCTCTAAAATCGATTTTAAAAAAAAGTTCTGAGGCACCGCCCCAGATCTGAATCAGCAAGCCAGGTCTCATGTTTTGGAGTTCTTACCTCACTTCATGAAACGAGGTTCCCCGCTAATAAAATAATGGTAGTCTATGCTACTTAACAAGAAACAAAACAACAACAGCAAAAAACCCAGGAAAGCCCCAGAAATCACCTCACTCTGCAGTAACATAAAATGATTTTTTGGTCCTGTGACTAATACTTGGTAAGTGGAGAAACACCAGCTTGGTGCGTTTTTGTTTACCCCTTACTGTGAGGATTATATAACCTGCCTGGAATTCTTGGGGAATAATTTCTGATGAAGGAGCCCTTTATTTAGGGAGCAGTTATCCGGGGTTTGGTTTATTCTGTTCTTGCAGAATTAGGAAGCTGGCCTTTTATTAGTGAGTGCCCCTAACCGTGAGCACAGACTCGAGGAAAGCAAAGGCTCCTTTCTAAGGATGGACCTTGGAGCTAGAGGCGCTGGAAGGTTGGACTGGAGGAGTCACCTGGTGGGTCATATAGTCAAACTTTAACTTCAGCAAAGGAATTTTTTCACCAAAAGCAATTGGGCACAGAAGCTGGTTTGTAAAAGCAGGCTTGCCCAGGTGAGCAAACGGAAGAGGGCTCACAGGCCATTCAACCTGCTTTCCCTTAAGCCTCAAGCACTCCTGTGGATCACTAGGGGTCCCTTGGTTACAATGTAAAAACTACTGTCCACTCTTCATTTTCTATTTTATTTTATTTTAAAGTTAATTTATTTTTTATTTATTGACTTTTGGATTTGTTGTTCCACTCACACATTCAGTGGTTTCTTGTATGTGTCATGACCAGAGATTGAACCTACAACCTTAGTGTATGGGGACGATGCTCTAACCCACTGAGCTTCCTGGCCAAGGCCCACTCCCTTCATTTTAAAAGTGGGCAAACAGGCCCAGAGAGGTATCCTATCCAGAGTCAAGTTGCCCTTCCAATTCTTGATGTCTTGGGGCCAAGTGTGGGGTTCACTGTTTCCAAGTACAGGACCTAGATTGGGAAGAGTGGCCATTTATCTTTCTAGTGTTGAGCACAGTGTGTGCCACTTGGGAGGACCTTCGAGAAATACCTCTTAAGTGAATGTGTGTATTTAGTAAAATCTGGTGGAAGCTGCCAAAGTACCTTTGAAGCCTGCAGATACCAGTCAGTGTTGCCTGGTGGTATATGTCAGGACTCAGCTGCAAACGATGTCGGGGGAGGAGGGCTTTACTGGAAAGATTGTGAGGCAAGTGGCCAGCCTAGCCTTGGGTAAAGGCAGGATGCATTTGGGCTTAAGGAGCTTTAGAAACTGGGGCCCCAGCATTGCAGGCCTTCACCGTGTTTCAGCCTCTCTTTTTCTGGTTCAGTGTGGCCAGAAGCTTCAGCTCCTTTGTCTGCTTAGCCTGAAACAAAGCTGTAGACAGTGCCAGAGTTTTACATGTCACAGCCTTGCTACCTGGAAAGAGTTCCAGATCCAAAATCCCTGGAAGGCCTCTGGTTGGCCTAGTCAAACCAGTTAGGGTCAAAGGCCCACAGGATTATGCAAAATAACTGTGGGAGGTATTCCCGAGGAGGGGGCACCGAGCTCTGAAACTGTCAAAACAATGTCTACGCTTCTTCAGTTGGCTGTTACAAATGTCCTTCTGTTCAGTGAACTAAGTCCACATGGAATCCTGGGAATTGTGCTGAAAATGAAGAAGACTCATTTGTTTGTCAGTGGGAGTGCATGAAACATGAAACATTGTCAGCAACCTGTATTTTGTATTCTATCAGGATAAAGTAGAGTTGACTACATAAAAATTGCTAATATTTACAGAGACATGCCCCAGGTTCTTCCCGAAATGCTTTAACATGGTTAATCTTGTAACAGGGCACAACCAGCCCCCCCCCCTCCAAAAGGGTATTTTTAACGGGGTCCAGAGATTGGGGTGTCCAAGAAAAATATATTCTCCCCACCCCAGGGCGGGCCGCCATGGGGGATGGGAGCCTTGAGCAGGGCCATTGAGAGCATTTTGCATGTCAATAACAGGATAGCTTCATTCCTCATTTGCAAGAAGGGTTATTTTGCATATCACCAAAGCTAATCAGGAAGGTTTGAAAGACTTAATACAGAATGTAACTGGGGGAGACAGAGGAGAGACAGGGCCTGCAGGAGAGACAAAGGGACACAGACTCTGGGGAACAGTGGGAAGACCACACGGGAAGAAAGAGGGGAGAAAGGACTCCTGCTAGTGGGCCAGGAGAAGGTGCCACATGGTTATGGGTTAAGAGCTGGAGATCACGGAGACCCAGCGGATGGTGCTGAGACCCGTGAGAGGCCTGCCTAGCCGAGTCCCAGACTTCTGTTCTTTTTCTTCTGGAGGGCGGTACCCCTGACTGGCCTGACAGGCCTAACAGGGCAAAGGAAGGGAAGGCAGGACGGTGTGTGTGCTGGTGATTGTTTTGAAGGGATTTTAAGGTTAAAGGGTGACATTTAGCCACTAATCAAACCTGTGTGACTTTTGAATAAATAGTTCCTTTCCTTTTCACCAAACTCTGCCATTCAGAGCCATAATTCCAAGGGCAGCGGGCAAAGGACCCATAACCGAGGGATCCCGGGGAAGGAGGGTGTCGTTTCGGTAATAGCATCTGGGCACCCCGCCCCCACCACGGGTCCTTTTGTTCAGTAACAATCTCCTCTATCATAAAAACTCTGTGGTCTAAGTATTGCCTTTGCCATTTTAAAGAGGAAATGGAAGCCTAGAATGGTGAAGCAACACGCTGAAGGTGGAAGGAAAGTGGCTGAGGGGGGATCCACACCCCTGCACTCCGATTTGGGGTCCTGAGTCATCTGGGAGTACTGTCTTGTCAAGGAACGCCTTAGGAGGTACCAAGCTATTTTTATTTATTTATTATTTAAAAAGATATTCTATATATTTTTGGTATTTTTGTTGTATTTTTCTTTTTCCTTTTTATTATTTTCTAATCTTTATTGTGTTACAAAGCTATTTTTAGATGTTATTATTTGCATACCATGTGACTTCAAAGCCAGGCGTCATGAAGACATCCAATGTGGCATAGGTTTTAGAATCGAACCTGAGTTGGAATCTCGGCTCTGAGGACCTTAGTGTAACCATGCGCAAGTGGTGTACTCATCTATTAAGTACGATTAGACTAAAGGTATTTTTATTCCTTAGAACTTTATAATGCACACTGCTGAGTTTTCAAGACATCATGCTCCCCACCCATCACTTGGTCCAGGGGACCAGGATGGCGGGGGGCGGGCGGGGGCGGGTGATGAGCTTGGGCCTCCAGGTTTCTCACCAGGGGGCGCGCGAGGCCCTCAGCGGAGAGGGCGGGCGTTCGCATTCCGGGCCTTTCAAGTTCCTTGAGAACCTCAGGTTACGCTTGCGTATCTTAGTCCCACGGCTGTGATTGGCTTTCAGGTGTGAAAGCTGGTGTGCGCGTGCTCCGCAGCTAAAGGCGGGTTCCTCAGGCAAGATGGCTGCCAAGAGTTTTGCATTCCGCCTCAAAGGCTCCCGGCGCTTTTTAAGTGGCTTCGTGGCCGGAGCCGTAGTGGGCGCCGCGGGGGCCGGGCTCGCGGCCTCGCAGTTCTTGCGGGGTCGGGGCGATGAGGCTGCCTTGACGGTGAGGGAGCCGGAAGGTAAGTCTGTGGACCCGATTTCCCTTCCCCGACCCCAGGGGTCCGGCCCGGGCTCCCACCTCCGGCTTACATCGATCGTATTGCACCTCCACGCGCGGCTCCTCCCTTCGCCCCGCCCGTGGTTCTGGGCCTTTGCAGCCTCCCTGCTCGGCCTCCTTTCCCCTCGTCCCGTCTAGGTTGCCTCTTTCATCTACTTAAGTCCCCCGGGGATCTTCATACTCTTCTTCCCCCAAGTATTTTTAATGTCTGTGTCCGCCGCCGGATTATTAACTCTAAGAGCTCTGGCCAGGTCTGCTTTGTTTTCCACCACGATCACCGCACGGTAGCTGCCTCCTAGTTGGTGTTCAGGGAGTATGGATGGATGGATGGATGGATGAATGAATGAATGCACACGTAGTTGTGGCGGACTAGCGCATTGCTCTCATTTTACCACGGTTCCCATGCAGAATGCTTGCTAGTCCGTCCTCAAAGTATAGACACCCTCACGTTCCCGGGGTGCCTTATATTTGACAAAGAAAACGGGCTCGGGCTCATTTTTACACTTTCCCCCACGTGCTCGTTGAACTTGCCCCTTGGATAATGCTTGGCGTTTAGCAAGAGAGCTAGGTTGCCTGATGGGTGCTATTTGGTTTCTCCCACCAGGAAAAATACCAGTTCTACCGCTGTCTTGCGGCAGCACACATCACTGCTTCAACGCCAGGGCCATGAGGCAGAGAGGCGATGCATGTCGGTCTTTTTAAAAACTTAAAAGGGCTGTGCTTTAGTCCCCGCACTAACTCTGAAAACATAAGGAGTAGGGCGGCGCTTTCCCATGCAATCCTATCAGGGGCCAGTAATGACAAGAGTTTTTCCTTGGCTGCTTTTGTACACAGAAGGACTTTGTGGGCAGAGATTTGAATTTTTGATGTGAAAGACCAGTCAGATCATTTCTTCTTTAAAAGTGAATGAGAGAGCTGTTTAAAAGTGAATGAGGTAGCTACTGTTTATCTTGGTAAAACTATACAACTGATTTTAGGCCCAACCCGTATTTTGTCTGCCATCCCTTTTCTTTGTGCTATAAGTCACTGCAAAAATGAGACCTCTTTGCCAATTAGACTTTGGAGCCAGTCCTTTGTAAGTCTTACCCCTCTTTGTTTACTTACAATTTTTTGTTCGTAATTAGTCACTAACGTTATGACTTTTTGTCTCCCCCCTCCCTTCTTTTTTTCATTTTTAGGTTCTGCAGAAAAGGCTCTCTTGGGACAATTTGGATTTCCTCTAACTGGAACAGAGACTAGGTTTTACACTAATCATGCCTTGTCTTATGACCAGTCTAAGCGGGAGCCTAGATGGGTTCTTGAACATATATCCAAAAGCAAGATAATGGGTAGGTGGTGAGAAGTAAAGGCATTGATCAAAGATGTTCCCAAATTTACAACAAGGGGCACTATGGATCATCTCAACCTTTTTCTCATTACAGCACATTCAGAAAATGCTGCCGTTTGTGTGGCTCACTAGGTAAATAGACTCTGCGGGGCAGCCACGGAGCCCCAGACCGTCCCTGGCTGTGTCGGGGCTGAAAAGGCCTGTATCTTGACACACGAGTTGAAGGCTCTTGCATACATAATGCTGCAAGGAGCACCGTTCATTCGTTATCTCCAAATACCTTTTAAGTGCCTGCCATGTGTCTGCCCTGTGCTAGACCTTGGGGGTTTATCAGTGACCAGAGCGGATGTTCTCTGCCTCCATGGCGCTTGGAGCTGGGGTGGGAGTGGGTTGACCTGCTGAATAGTCATGAATGTATAATTACAATCGGTGGTAACTCTTCTGAAGGAAAAGTGATTGCAAGTTGGGTTTGTATGATTAAGGAACGGTGAAGAGTGGGAGAGATTAGAACAGGAGACCTGATTTTGATCAGTGAGGCTTCTCTGACACAGGGGCACGAATGGCAGTCACCGAGGCAGAGGAGCTGGGTGGGCCATGCATGAAGGACAAGAGCATTTCAGGCAGAAAGAAAAGCACGGTTGCATCGTTCAAGGCCCCAGCGCGGCGAGTTTTGTTCCTTTGGGGAACTGCAAGAAGGCCAGGGTGGCTGCAGCGAGGGAGGGCGTGATGTGAGATGGGACTGGAGAGGTAGGTGGGTGTGTTCAGTCTGTCCGTGTGTCCTTCGGTCGCGGTAGATTCCTGGAATTAAGATGACCAGGACTTGATATTTAATGTCAGGGTGGCTTCGGGGAAGAGTACTTCAGGGGGCGGCCACCACTGCTCTGTCCCGTCGCTCCCAGCCCCGACCCGTAATGGGCTTTCCCAGTTTAATAGCTGGCTTGTGTTTATGGGTTGTCATGGACGGTTAATTATTCTTGTGGATTACTCTTTCTTTGTGAATTATCCTGTACTGTTTTTTAGTTGGGATTTTCTTTTTTGAGTCGATAGGAACATTTTGTCATAGTTGTTTTATTCTTATTTTGTTATTTGCCTTTTAGTTTGCTATATGGCCTTTAGATTATACCTCCTTTGCTTTACAATGCATGCTATGTTTATGTATTTACAAATGCTGGTGTCAAAACCGGGCCTTTATAGAGTGCCCACTCACCGGCAGAAGAGCAGGAGGCCTGGCACGTGCTTGCTGCTTGAGTGAAACTGATATACGTGTGAACTGTATCATAGCAGTTGAGACTTGATTGTAAATTTACATCAAGGGAAACTGATTTGATTTAGTCTCAAGCCTAATGAGTTTCCTTTAAATCAATTTTCCCCAAGATAAAAGGAATTTTTAGCTTTTACTAAGTTTATCCTGCTACTAAGTTATTTCTTTCAAAGGCATGTAAGAAAAACATTGAGTTTCTTATAATAAACCCTGTGAGCTGTGTAATTTTGAGGAGGTAAACTAGAGCCAATTACTCTTACCAGTATTTGAAAATAGGGAAGGAATATACCTGTGATTTACTTGATTTTAGTGTAAAGCGTTTTATTTTTAGTAATGACAGACTAAGTTAATCAGATCAACTCTCCTGCTAAAAACAAGAATGTTATTAGTGGTATGTAAAAAGTATTGAAAAATCATACACACATGAAAATGAAGAGCTAACATTAGAGTGGAGAACTTCCAGGCTAGTATTTGGGGGGAAACCAAAATCCAGAGAAGTAAGTAAGGGCAGTCCTGGCAAGGCAAAGCCACGTTGCCTTTGGTTCCGTAGACTTACAGGGTGAGGGGGACCAAAGGCAAGACCCAGGGTTCACCCAAGGGTGGTTGTCTTATAGGAGAGCCTCCCAACATTAACCTGGAACCTTAGAGGGCTGCACCCTTGGTGAAGAGTGAACCAGAACTACCTGCCTGCCCACCATAGGGGATTATGTGGAAGGTTGTCTTGGCTCTGAGCATAGGAGGATCAAAAAGGAAAATAAAAACTTGTTCTGGAGCCCTGCCTGGTATGGCTCAGTGGATTGATCGCTAGCCTGTGAAACAAAGTAGCAGGTTCAATTCCCAGTCAGGGCTCATGCCTGGGTTGCAGGCCAGGCCCCCGATAGGGGGTGCATGAGAAGCAACCACACATTGATGTTTCCCTCTCTTCCTTCCTTCCCCTCCGTCTGAAAATAAATAAATAAAAATCTTTAAAAAAAAAAACACAACAAACCACCCAGCTTATTCTGGAGAAGCTGATTCCACAGACTGTCTAGCATGCAGCCTTGCAGCCTAAAGCCATGGAGCCTGTGTAGATCAAGGAAGCTGGCGTCCTGAGTTTGGTTTAATGTGGTCCTCCACTGCTGATGCCCCAGACTCCGGATAGAAGTGAATTTATGCCCTTTGTCCAGGAAGGCCTCTTCATCCTAGGCCTTTAGAAACTCCCACAAATGGTTTTTCAAGGGCAGTGAGCAACAGGCATACAAGGAAGCGATTCCAATAGGGATGAGACTTGGAGAAGTATAGTAGCGATTCTTCTGTATTACCAGTAACTTTTTGTTTATGAGGATTCTCAAATATTAGGTACAATGTTAGATACTTGACTCTGAACTTTGGGATCTAATAATTGAACATTTTTTCTCAGCTGAATGAAACGACATTGGAATCAGTAACTCTATTGATCTCCATTTTACGCTTTTTGAGTAGCAGCCTGGGCATATTCCATTTGTCCTCATCATTTTTGTAACTAACAGGATCTGTCCTAATGACAGTGGAAAATGTAGTATTAGGATTTGCTGATGTTCACCATGGCAAACTATTCTGGAGCTTTCAGAATATAAGTAAAATTGAGATTTCTTTTCTCCTATGTGGTACTTGGATATTTTATTTCAGGATTTTTCTGGATTGAGCTCACAACTTAAGTATTTGTTTTGTCACGGCTTAAGAGGCAGTAAGATATCAGAGACACTCTCCCCCTCCCTGAGGCTGTGCCTGCCCAGAACAAATTGTTTTGTGTCTATATATATCCATTATTTCAGGGCATGCAAACTTGTGTCAAATACAGTTGTACAAAATACAATACATGGGGGTCTTTTTAAAAAACAAGAGTTTATTTAGTAGCTAAGCTTTTTAAACAATGTAGTTATTTGGTTGGTCATTGTTTTTATGTAAATACTATCCAGGGAATTTTTTTTTCCCCCTTTAATGCCAGAAACAAAAGTATATGAGATAGCCACACTGTATGAAAAGCATTCTTTCCTAGCCTAGTCCTTGCTAAATTCAGATGAAGTATCTGAACTATCCCAGGAACTTGAGACATGCATGCAGTCACCAACTACTCGCTGCTCAGAGAGAGACCGGCCAGAGCAGCCAGCTTGCCTTGCTTAGAGAATCCTGAGGGATATTTGCCCACGGAAAACTTACCCATGTTGTGTGTTTTTCTTCAGGTGATGCAGACAGAAAAGATTGTAAATTCAAGCCTGATCCCAACATCCCTCCAACCTTCAGCGCCTTCAACACGGACTATATTGGAAGTGGGTGGTCGCGAGGACACATGGCTCCAGCAGGAAATAACAAATTTTCACCTGTAGGCAAATTTTGGGAGAGGGGCTGCTCTGATACCATGGGACTTGGAGATTGTAAACATAGGAGCCAAACTGTAAAACTTGAGAATTCCTATACTTCATTTTTGTATTTTCCTTCCAGACTTTAATTTTTTTCCCCTCAGGTGCTGAAACATTTTAAAACAGGTTGAATGAGGAAAAGTAACGCTATGTAAGAGGGAACTGGAAAACCAATAGGAGCTAAAGCTACTCACTTTTATGTTGAAGAACTTCAGACCTGTAGAAAAGTTGAAAAGAGAGTACAGCAAACATTTTGATCCATTAACTTTACATGTATGTGTTCATATATATATACACACACACATATAATTTTAACCATTACAGACATAACTTTATTCCGAAATAGGTTGCTTAGGAGATTATATCACTTAAGGATGAGGGTATTTGTAGTTATGAAAGGAGTATCATGCCAAGAAATGTGTGCAAATGTATTTTTGTATATTTGTACAATATCTAGTACACAATTCACATTTCAGATTTGCCAAATTGTGCCAATTATCTTAACAGCTTTCTTTGGATTTAGTATCCAGTTATGAATCACTTAATACACTTAGTTGTCCTGTCTCTCTAGTCCTTTTTAATTTAGAGTAATTTCTCTGCCAAAAAAGGAAATGTCTTTTATAACATTGGCATTTCTGCATGAACTATTGGTGATTATCACCATTAAGTTATTACTGATTCTCACCTTTGGGTACTCATTATAACCACCCAGGGAAGTTTTTAAAAATCCTTGATGCTCAGACCTGTAACCCAGAGCAGTTAAGTCAGAAACTGAAGGGGGCAGAACCCAGGCGTCAGTATTTTTAAAGCTCCCGAGGTCATTTCAGTGTGCAGCCCGGGGTGACAGCCGCTATGTGAGGAGAAGGGGACAGTGGCTTTGGCAGTTACCGTAGATCAATGAGAGGAAGTGCATTTCCTGAGCTTTGCGTTGATGGGTCAGAAGTGTGAAATGAATGAACATGTAGTGGCCAGAACAAGAATGGTTTCTCTTTTTTTGTGCCACTTCTGAACTAATTATATTGGTACTGTACGACCTAAAATTCCTGAAAGTTGACCTCTGAAAAACTCTGCCAGAGGCTTAAAATTAGAATTTAGCTTAAAGCCTTTTAGCTTCATGTTGGGAACTTATTTTCTTAGAGTCTACACTATAAGTTTGAATTTTATATGTTAGGAAGAAGGGTAGCTCATCCATCTACTTATTTTCATAGAGTCCTTATTTTGAATGATCATTGAGCTTTCTGTCCTGGAATAGTTATGACTTTCATTTATCTAAACGAGTAGTTACTGCTGTGACCAGTGTGGCTCAGGTGGCTGGGCATCTTGCAGAGCAAAGGCCACTGGTTTGATCCCCAGTCAGGGCACATGCCTGGGTTGCGGGCCAGGCCCCCAGTTAGGAGCATGTGAGAAGCAACCGAATGATGTTTCTCTCCCTCTGTCTTCCCCTCTCTCTGAAAATAAAATCTTAAAAAAAAAAAAAGTAGTCATTGTTATTGTCTAGAGCTGACATATGAATAAGGAACTGGTTTTCTGTGTCTGTTTTGTACCCTCTCCAAGGGGAAGGCATTTTGGTTCAAGTTACTTTTGTTCTTTTCACAGAAAGCAATGGCTGAAACCTTTTACCTTTCTAACATTGTGCCTCAGAATTTTGATAATAATGCTGGATATTGGAACAGGTGAGGGGTGAGAGTTTTAAAAATGTGATTATGTGGGTGATGAATGATGAATGATGTGAGGAGAATTTACCAGTTGCTGATGAACTGTTTCTATCTTTGTTTTTCAAGAGCTATTACTACAAAAGGTAGTGCTTTCATTAGGCACTCGGGACTAGTTTTTTTTTTCTTTGCTGTTTTTCAGGAGCATAGTTTTCTAGGGAAGTACAGACTTCAAAACATAGCCATTTTGACCATGTTTTCTACTGCTCAGAAGTCAAATTCATGAAGAAACTACTAAAAATATTGCTGAGGCGTAAAATATTTTGGAATATGTCCAGAGGACACTTTTTCTCCAGTTGCTGAGCTTTAAAAAATCTTTTGGTACAGTTAAACGTAACCATGAACCAGATTTTAAATCACTTCTGTCAGTGGATCTCTACGTATTTGAGACTAGCACTGACTGAGGTTGTTGCAAGCTATTGCGTTTTCCTCAAACAGTACTTTTGTGGTTTACAGTACTCATCCGTTAGGGCCCACACTTGTTTTGTCTGGATACCTTCCCTTCCCCCTGCTCAGATTATTTTAAGCAGGTCACAGATATATTATTTTAATATTTCAACATGTAGTTTTAGGAAATAAGGATTCTTTTAAAATATAACTATGATACTATTATTACCCCTCAAAAATTTAATAGTAATTCCTTATTGGCCAGTGTTCTAATCGGTGTTCAAATTTGCCTGATTGATTTTGTTTTTTGGTTGTTGATTGGTTTGAGTCAGGATTTAAACAAGGTCTACTTGTGGATTTTGGTGATATTTTTCTTCAGTCCCTTTTAATCTGCAGGCTTCCCTTCCTCTTCTTTTTTCCTCCCTTGCAAGTGATTTGTTAGAAATCTGGGATATTTGCCCTGTCGTTTCCTTTTCATATTCTGTCTGATTGCATACCTGTGGAATCTTACAACATTTTTCTTTCCTAAGAGATGTTTTTGGGAGGGAAATTTTGTTACCGGGCATATATGCTGTAAGATATAATACTGATTTTACTCGTTAGGGAAAAGGAAACAGGAATGGGGGCATGTATTGTTTTCTCATAAGCCTCTTTCAGCTGCAGTATAAGAAAGTGCATAGTAAAATGACTTGCCATTTTTATCCAGCAAGTTAGCAAAAACTGTTTTTAAGTGTTAAAACTCAGTATGGTAAAGTGGAACTGCTACGCCATTTTGGAGTTTACAGAGTAAATTGGGACAATACTATTACAAATATTAGTATTACATATAATCAAGTGTCATGAAAATGTTTAATGAAGCAATTCTGGCCCTTGAAATTTATCTTAAGGAATTAATACAATGTTGCATTATATAAGAAATGTTAGGGTAAACCCGGTTGTCCCACAATAAGAATGAATAAATGAAAAGATAACAATTTGTTGGAATGCAATTTAATTCTTGTAAAAAGTTTGAGAATTACGGCATGGAAGAATAAGGGAGAAAACAAAACAAAATTTCAGTTATAAAATGCACATGGAATGCACACTGTAAAATATACATGGTTGTATTAATGTGTGTGTTTTTTTAAGTTTTTTTGTGCAGTAAACAAACTGGGGAAAGCATTGTTTATATCCTTATAATGTTTTGGGCCACATTCTCTTGTTGATATTAATTTCTCTAGATCAGTATTCTTGGCCACTTTCTCCTTGGGACTTGATACGGTTGCTTCTGTTCTACATTTAAGCCTGTGAGCATATCATGGTTTTTTATTTTGTTTTGTTTTGCTTTGTTTTTCAGAATTGAAATGTACTGTCGAGAACTGACAGAGAGGTTTGAAGATGTTTGGATAGTGTCTGGGCCGCTGACCTTACCTCAGACTGGAAGCGATGGGAAAAAAACAGTTAGTTACCAGGTAGGGACATGTTTCAACCTTCAGGCTTATGCTGTTTGTATGAGATTATGTTCTCCTCTCTCTACTTTTTGTTTCATTTATTGAATAGTATTAATTGAATGCCTCTTGGAATGAGAGGCCCAGAGGATATAATGATGGATTAAGAAGCAACCACTGACTTCAAGGAGCTCACAGTTTAGAATGGGAGACAGACATGTGATCCACTAATTGTGTTAAAGTGTGATACGCTGTAATAGAGATAAATACATACATGAAATGGTGTCACAAGGACTGACCGACCCTATCCGTGTGGGTTGGGAGGATGTAATGGAAGATAATGTTTTGGAGCTTGAGCTAGACACGAGTGAGCATAAGCAGGGCCGGGGAGGAGCACGGGAATGCCAGGAGAGGGAACGGGAGGGGCGCAGGGCGCTGGTGGTCGGGAGCGTGGGACCCGGGTTTGGGTATCGCTGGTGGAGGCTGGAGCTCGTGGATCAAAGAGGTGGCGGCCCAAGGAGGATGGGGGCTTCTCCAACGATAGGCCGGACAGGGGCCTGTAGTAGAGCGCTTAGTGTTCCAGGAAGGCTCGGTTTTTAATTTTTAGACACTGAGAAGTCATAGGTTTATTTTAGGCATAGGAGACGTGATTTGTTCGGGGTTTTAGAAGGAGCATTCTGGTGGCACTGTGTAGAGAGGCAGGTAAGGAAGGGGCATTTGAAGGAGAGGTTAGAGGCACGGAGGTCAGTCAGGACGTTACTGCGGCAAGTCCGTTCAGGAGCAGACGCGAGGCTGAACTCAGGCAGCTGGGAGTGAGGATGAGAGAGGGATACGGGAAAGAGTACCCCTGAATTAATCTTTGGGGTGAGGAGGGGGGGAAGTTCCAATGATACCCAGATTGCAGTGAGCGCAGGAGTTGAATAAATGGGAAGAAAAACTTCTTTTAGGCTATTGGACTTTTTTTTAAAATGAAGTTTAAAATTTAATGTATGTATCTATGTATTTATTTGAAAGAGGAGGAGAGAAACATCGATGTGTGAGAGAAACACCGATTAGTTGCCTCTCGCACATGCCCCAACCAACAACAGGCCCCTGCAACCCTGGCATGTGCCCTGACCAGGAATCGAACCATCTGTCTTTTTCTTTGCAGGATGATGCCCAACCAACTGAGCCGCACTGGTCAGGGGGATGAAGTTTTTGTTGTTTTTTTTTTAACGTGCAAGATATTTGAGAACTTTACAGAGTGAAGGAAAGAGATTAAAAATATAATTGGCTGTGTGAGAGCTTTCAACATCCAATGTTGATGTCTAAGATTGAGGATTCTGCGAACAGTGGCTGAATTGATATACCAAGATGGATAGAGGGCAGGGAACGAAGTGGAGTGAGGAGGCGGAAGTGCTAGAATAAGTAAAAAGAGAGGGGTTGAAGGATTAAGTCAAGGAGGAGGTGTGTTTGGAGGGAACGCCTAGCTCAACTCTGGTTAGGTTAAATGAGTACTTAAAGGAGTCTGTAATAAAGTCGAATGACCTGAGATTTAGGGAAACCAATACAAGTTTAGGGTATATTCTGTTCCACTGACTTGCTTATGATTAGCCTGTGCGGATCAGGTGTGCAGCGGTGTGTGAGGTTCTGGGGGGCTCCCGTAGGTGCTCACGCCCCCAGTGCACTCTGGGAGTTCTCACGGGAGTAGAGGAGCGGCAGAGGAGTTAATGTTTTAAGCAGATTATTGTCTCCTCTTTGATCGGCTTGTTCATTTAATTGTAGTTCCCTCTATTCTCTTATTTTTCAAATATTAATAATTCTTGAGCTTTGGGAAATACTCTCTTCTCTTACCTTTAGAAAATAGGTTCTCTTACCTTTGACTTCTAAACCTTAAATGATAGGTTACAGTTTTTATAGGTGCCCGCTTTTCATAAAATTGAAAGATTTAGATAACTAGCTTACTGTGTAGTAGAAGAAAAATGTATACAAAGTTTAAAAGGAAAAATTGACCAGTATATAAGAACATTTCACTAAACAGTGTGTGTGCGTGTGCGTATTTCTAAGAATGTGCTGGCCAAATGCTGCAGTGGAAAGTATATTGTTTTTCTTAAGTTGGATAAACTTTTAAAAATAACTTATAAAAATATTATATATTATATATCTGCCCAAAGGCCTAGGAGCAGTGATACATTATTAGCAGTAAGTGTACCTTGAGACCAGATCTTGTTTTTGAAAAAAACATCTCCTGCTGGGAGAACCCAGCACGTGGAGAATGGCTCATTCCAGGGCTGGTACTGGGAAAGTATAAAATGGAACATCTTATGCCAGAAGTCAAGGAAGTACCCAAACAGGTGGTGAGGACATGTCAGAAAGGACATAGAAATCAGCTGGAAGGACTTCCAACTTATTGTGTCTGAAACTATATAATAGCAAAATAAAATGGTGTATAGTCCAATTGAATTAAATGAGAATCCATATTTCTAATAAATAAGTAAATACATGGGTAAAAGGAAAAGCTTACCATAGAATGTCAACTAATAAATTTGTAAGAATGAAAGAATTAGAAAAATAATTTTGCAACCATTATAGTAATGCATTCCAGACAAGAATCATGGATGCTAAACCTAATAAGTGAAAATTTTATGAAGAATAGGACATGATAAATAGGCTATATATAGCCTGTTCAGAAAGTATTCATCCATGTAGTATGAAAAATAGAGACATTTATTGGAGAAGATACAAGATACAAGAAACATTGTACATAGGACAATCACAGCGGTGTCTGTCCCCTTCAATGTAGGCACCTTGGGACCTCACACAGTTCTCCCAGTCGCCATCAGCTGCCCTGTTGTATTTTCCTGAATCTCAAGGATCGTCTGAAATCTCTTCCCTTTCAAAGGTGATTTTAGTTTTAGGAAAAGCCAGAAGTCACAGGGAACCAAATCTGGGCTGTAGGGAGACTGAGTCACTTGAGTGATTTGATGTTTTGCCAAAAAACTGCATGAGATGTGATGCATGAGCGGGCATGTTGTTGTGATGAAGCTGCCAATCACCAGGTGCCCACAGCTGTGGCTTTCTGCATCATCCGAATAGTTTCCGCAGAGGAATGTTCAAGCTTAATGTAAAATTTGATACAGATTCCTTACTCAGTCATTTTGAATGCGACGGCCACACAGTGCACATGCTCACTCAGCAACATCTACTGCCCCCGTTGACTAGTACAGTGAAATCATCATTGTTCACGCATGTGCATTCCAGTCCATTCTCCTTGGCTGCCAGGTTACACTGATGTTGCACAAACTGTTCTCATTATATTAACAGTGGTTTGACTTTTTCTGGACGGACCTAATATACCTAAAAGTATCTCTCCATAGATTACTTATTAATAACAAAGCAAGAACTGATAACTTCATAGTGGAGAAACTCCCCTTTAACCAATTGACCAAGGTTAATAAGTATTGCCATAGTAGGACTTACTGATAAACTATATTTCCTGGTGTGATGCACTCAGGAGGATACAGTATCACTTCTGTTAGGTATCTGCCAAAAAAACATAGCACTGAATCTCATGCGGAAATATCAGTCAAACCCCAGTTGAGGGACATTCTGTGAACCAGCTGGCTTGTACTCTTTAAAAATGTTGGTATCATAAAAGAGAAAAGCTGAGAAACTAACTGTTCCAGGTAATGGAGACTAAACGAGTCTAGAAAACAAAATGCAGTTTGTGATCTTAGATGAGATCCTAGATCAGAAAAACAGACGTTGCTAAAAAGGACTTTATTGGGACAATTGACAACATTCAAGATCTGTAGGTTAGAGAATTCTATTTTATCACGGTAAAGTTTTCTGATTTTGATAATTATACTGTGATTATGTAAAGGAATGTCTGCTCTTAGGAAATGTAGCTTGAATGATGTGTTCTCTGACTTATTTTCAAAAGGTTTAGGGAAAAGAAAAACAGGAAGAGTGTCAAGGCAAATTGGGCAAAATGTTAACAGTTGATAAATCTGTTGTGTGCTATTCTTGCAAATTCTAAATTTGCAATGAATTCAGAATGAAACATAGAATATGTATATACATTTTAATAGATCTTTTCTATACCAGAATTCTTATTACACTGGAATATATAGAGTAACCACTAAAAGCACTTACCTGGCTTCTCCTAAATAGGTTCAGTGAGTGACCTTCAGGAGTGTTCAGGTAGCCTTGAGAGCTTCAGGGGAGACCTGGCCTAGTGAGGAAAGGGTGAGGGCCATCAGCATCAGCGTCCTGAAGGGTGTACTTTGAGGACTAGTCTTGTTTTAGATCTTTTCTTTCAGCATCTGCACCTCTGACCCTGTGTCATTAGTTTTTCATACCTAATTTTTATCTGTGCTCACACTGGCAAATCTTGAATTCAGCAAACCTTCGAGTACCTCTCATGTGGGAGGAAGGCATATGGAAATGGAAATGACATGCCTCAAAGTACATTTTTTATTACTTTTCCCCCTTTTTTTCCTGCATTTCACATCCTGGATCATATGGTAGTTCTGTGTATTAATTTTTTTAGAGGAAGTAACATACTGTTTTCCATCAAGGCTGCACCATTTAACATTCCCACCAACAACAAATAGAGGCTTAGTGTTAAGTTACCCTGGCAGTTTTAAAATATCCTACTTGGTTTTGGCTCTTTTGCCAGTAGTTTGTGAAAGAATGTATCTCTGTCTACGGCTAAACCCAGGGACTCCAAGTTGCTGTATTCCTGCGGCCCCGTTCACCTCTAGGTTGGCATAGCCCATAGTCCCGGCTAGAGTGCAGACTTTCGTAGCCAGAGCAGGGGCATCAACGAGTAGACTATAAGGTCATGGGACAGAAGCCTGTGTCTGAATAAACTTAGTGAGTCTGGGTCCTGCTTAGTGAGCCTGGGGCTAGGTACACAGTGTCTGAGTTTCCCTGAATACTAATGTGATATGTCCCTTAGGCTGCGTGGACTGTCGTCCAACCTGTTACATTGCCTGTCACACCATTCCATAGAATGGGGAGGCCAGTTTGGGAGGTTTCCT